CCCCGGGCGCCCGGCCCTGAGGGTGCCGGGCGATGGCGCTCCGTGGACCATGTGCTCCGGCAGGAACGAGGACGCCTCCCATGTGGGTCCGCGGAAAGGCGGGGTTCACGCTCCTCCAAGGCCCTGCCAGCGCCCCCGGTTCACCAAGAAGCGAAAGGAGGACGGCCTCCTCCTTGGAAACAGCGCGTGTGGTGACCTGTGAAGGGGACGTGCTGCGTGGGGGGACGTGCTACGTGGGGGACGTGCTGTGTGAGGGGGAACATGCTACGTAAGGGGACGGGCTGCGTGGGGGACGTGCTACGTGGGGGATGTGCATCGTGCGGGGGAACGTGCTACGTGAGGGACGTGCTATGTGGGGACGCGCTCTGTGAGGGGACGTCCTGCAAGGGGACGTGCTCTGTGGGGACGTGCTCTGAGGGACGTGCTCTGTGGGGACGTGCTCTGAGGGACGTGCTCTGTGGGGACGTGCTCTGAGGGACGTGCTCTGTGGGGACGTGCTCTGAGGGACGTGCTCTGTGGGGACGTGCTCTGAGGGACGTGCTCTGTGGGGACGTGCTCTGAGGGACGTGCTCTGTGGGGACGTGCTCTGAGGGACGTGCTCTGTGGGGACGTGCTCTGAGGGACGTGCTCTGTGGGGACGTGCTCTGAGGGACGTGCTCTGTGGGGACGTGCTCTGAGGGACGTGCTCTGTGGGGACGTGCTCTGAGGGACGTGCTCTGTGGGGACGTGCTCTGAGGGACGTGCTCTGTGGGGACGTGCTCTGAGGGACGTGCTCTGTGGGGACGTGCTCTGAGGGACGTGCTCTGTGGGGACGTGCTCTGAGGGACGTGCTCTGTGGGGACGTGCTCTGAGGGACGTGCTCTGTGGGGACGTGCTCTGAGGGACGTGCTCTGTGGGGACGTGCTCTGAGGGACGTGCTCTGTGGGGACGTGCTCTGAGGGACGTGCTCTGTGGGGACGTGCTCTGAGGGACGTGCTCTGTGGGGACGTGCTCTGAGGGACGTGCTCTGTGGGGACGTGCTCTGAGGGACGTGCTCTGTGGGGACGTGCTCTGAGGGACGTGCTCTGTGGGGACGTGCTCTGAGGGACGTGCTCTGTGGGGACGTGCTCTGAGGGACGTGCTCTGTGGGGACGTGCTCTGAGGGACGTGCTCTGTGGGGACGTGCTCTGAGGGACGTGCTCTGTGGGGACGTGCTCTGAGGGACGTGCTCTGTGGGGACGTGCTCTGAGGGACGTGCTCTGTGGGGACGTGCTCTGAGGGACGTGCTCTGTGGGGACGTGCTCTGAGGGACGTGCTCTGTGGGGACGTGCTCTGAGGGACGTGCTCTGTGGGGACGTGCTCTGAGGGACGTGCTCTGTGGGGACGTGCTCTGAGGGACGTGCTCTGTGGGGACGTGCTCTGAGGGACGTGCTCTGTGGGGACGTGCTCTGAGGGACGTGCTCTGTGGGGACGTGCTCTGAGGGACGTGCTCTGTGGGGACGTGCTCTGAGGGACGTGCTCTGTGGGGACGTGCTCTGAGGGACGTGCTCTGTGGGGACGTGCTCTGAGGGACGTGCTCTGTGGGGACGTGCTCTGAGGGACGTGCTCTGTGGGGACGTGCTCTGAGGGACGTGCTCTGTGGGGACGTGCTCTGAGGGACGTGCTCTGTGGGGACGTGCTCTGAGGGACGTGCTCTGTGGGGACGTGCTCTGAGGGACGTGCTCTGTGGGGACGTGCTCTGAGGGACGTGCTCTGTGGGGACGTGCTCTGAGGGACGTGCTCTGTGGGGACGTGCTCTGAGGGACGTGCTCTGTGGGGACGTGCTCTGAGGGACGTGCTCTGTGGGGACGTGCTCTGAGGGACGTGCTCTGTGGGGACGTGCTCTGAGGGACGTGCTCTGTGGGGACGTGCTCTGAGGGACGTGCTCTGTGGGGACGTGCTCTGAGGGACGTGCTCTGTGGGGACGTGCTCTGAGGGACGTGCTCTGTGGGGACGTGCTCTGAGGGACGTGCTCTGTGGGGACGTGCTCTGAGGGACGTGCTCTGTGGGGACGTGCTCTGAGGGACGTGCTCTGTGGGGACGTGCTCTGAGGGACGTGCTCTGTGGGGACGTGCTCTGAGGGACGTGCTCTGTGGGGACGTGCTCTGAGGGACGTGCTCTGTGGGGACGTGCTCTGAGGGACGTGCTCTGTGGGGACGTGCTCTGAGGGACGTGCTCTGTGGGGACGTGCTCTGAGGGACGTGCTCTGTGGGGACGTGCTCTGAGGGACGTGCTCTGTGGGGACGTGCTCTGAGGGACGTGCTCTGTGGGGACGTGCTCTGAGGGACGTGCTCTGTGGGGACGTGCTCTGAGGGACGTGCTCTGTGGGGACGTGCTCTGAGGGACGTGCTCTGTGGGGACGTGCTCTGAGGGACGTGCTCTGTGGGGACGTGCTCTGAGGGACGTGCTCTGTGGGGACGTGCTCTGAGGGACGTGCTCTGTGGGGACGTGCTCTGAGGGACGTGCTCTGTGGGGACGTGCTCTGAGGGACGTGCTCTGTGGGGACGTGCTCTGAGGGACGTGCTCTGTGGGGACGTGCTCTGAGGGACGTGCTCTGTGGGGACGTGCTCTGAGGGACGTGCTCTGTGGGGACGTGCTCTGAGGGACGTGCTCTGTGGGGACGTGCTCTGAGGGACGTGCTCTGTGGGGACGTGCTCTGAGGGACGTGCTCTGTGGGGACGTGCTCTGAGGGACGTGCTCTGTGGGGACGTGCTCTGAGGGACGTGCTCTGTGGGGACGTGCTCTGAGGGACGTGCTCTGTGGGGACGTGCTCTGAGGGACGTGCTCTGTGGGGACGTGCTCTGAGGGACGTGCTCTGTGGGGACGTGCTCTGAGGGACGTGCTCTGTGGGGACGTGCTCTGAGGGACGTGCTGCGTGGGGGGACGTGCTATGTGAGGGATGTGCTGCGTGGGGGACGTGCTGCTGGGGGACGTGCTACATGGGGGGAACCTGCTGTGCGGGGGGGTTGGGGAGGACGTGCTGCGTGGAGACGTGCTACGTGGGTGAGGAGCACAGGCCGCCCCCTCGCTGCCCGGGCCGCCCTCACCACCCGGTGCCGGGACAGCGTGGGCCATCCTTTATGGCCGAGACAATGGAGTGGGGCGGCAGTGTGCTGGGGTCCAACCCCAGCAGGTCCAGGGGTCCCCAAAGGTGAGGACAGAGTGGGCGAAGAAGGAATGACAGGGAGGCAGCCTTCAGGTGATCAGCAGCCCAGCCAGGATCTCCAGCCAAGTTCTGGTCAGGATCTCCAACGAAGTTCTGGTTAGGATCTCCAGCCAGGTTCTGTGCCCATGTTCTCTCGCTAGGTTCTACAGCCAGGTTCGGTTTAGGTTCTCCAGCCAGGTTCGGTCACCAGGTTCTGTCTAGGTTCTCCAACCAAGTTCTGTAGCCAGGTTCTGTCCAGGATCTTTTGCCATGTTCTCTCCAGCGAAGTTCTTCTGTCTCTAGGTTCTGTGTAGGTTCTGTCTTCTAAGTTCTGTG